GTGCAGCATCTTGGCACCCACCATGGCCAGTTATAAAAATAACATTCAGGCTGCTTGTTTAGGTTTCTCAGGTTACTTTAGAACATGTTGGGAATTCCAGGCAAATAGCTGGGAATCCAGACCTATATCTTCTATGGCATTGAGCCAGGCAACACTGATAAAATTGGATATAGTTTCAACAGGCTCTAGGAGGCTCACAATGATTTCCTTTCATTGTTTCAGGCTTTAGTCAAATGACATCAGGTGCAAGCCAGAAAGGATGAATATTTTACCTTTGCAATTACTGGTTCTAGGAACTTCCTCTCTCTTCCCATAATGCCCATGGAAATTTAGCCAAAATTTTAAGTTCTGTAGCATGCCAATTCTTTGTAATCTGAAAAAGCCAATACTTATGTAACGAGCTTCCCATTTGGATTGCACATGTATAACCTGTATCAGATTGCCTGCCGTCTTGGGGAAGGGGGAAGGGAGAGGAGCAGGAGGGAGAAAAATGTGGAACTCAATATCTTATAAAAAATGAATGTTGAAAACTATCTTTATATGTAATTGGAAAAAATAAAATGCTATTTACAAAAAAAAAAGAAAAGAAAAAGAAATCTTATACTTCTGCTTCCTTACACATTGCATTGGGCAATTGCAAACTCTTGGGTGGTGGTGGGGATGTTCTGATCCACACAGATTTCTTGAAAAGATTTGTAAACAAGGCAAAACTTCATTAAAACTAGAGTGTTCAGCTCAATTCTAATTTACCATAGCAAATAAAACAGTTAAAATAAAAAAAAGGAACTTCCCACTTGATGGTAGGGTTTCTAGAAGATGTTATATTCTGTTTTTCAGCCTAAATTAGGTCTTATAGTACAGTATATGATGTATATAATAATGCCCTGAAAATGTTGGCTCACATGCAAAAAACAGAATATGATAACTGGAAGGGACCTCAGATCCTGCCATCTAACCCTGTTATTTTTCTAGAGAGAAAACTAGTGCAGGTTCCTGCAGCTAGTGGTGGAGTTAAGGCTAGATGCAGAGGAGGGGAACCTGTAGCCTGGAGGCCACATGTGACCCTCCAGGTCCTCAAGTGTGGCCCTTTGAATCCAAACTTCACAAATCATAATCATAATTATATTAGTTGGGACAGGATAAAAGATAAAAAGTTTGGATTCAGTCAGAGGGCTGCACTTGAGGACCTAGAGGGCCACGTATGGCTTCCAGGCTGAAGGTTCCCCACCCCTGGCTCAGAGTCTATGCTTCCTGACTCTTTCATTTAGTGTTTGCTTCTCTACATAACTGTACCTCAAGAATTTTGTGTTTTGGTTTTTTTTCCCTTTCTTTTATCCTGTCCCAACTGCATATAATTATGATAGGTAATTATGATTTGTAGCCATTATTTGGCCAAAGCAACTCCTGAAATGATTTTTAAAAAAAATTTTTTTTGTGTTGTGATTTGTTTGGCAGAAGCCTATGGACGTTTTCTCAGAATAATATTTTTAATTGCATAAAATCAGACGTTTAGGATTACATGGGAAACTAATGATCCAATCATTTTAAAATATAATTACCAAAAAAAGGTCACAGACCCTAGCTTAAGAATTTCTACAATTAAGGGGTTGAAGAGGTAGTGTCTACATCAGAGAAATGTAAGAGCTCTTAAAATATTGGAATCTATCACCAACATCGTTAAAAGAAGAGTTTTTTAAAATAATGGCTGTCTTCCAGAGGTGATTAGGAGCTATTCAATATTATTTATCCCTTTCCCTTATTAGACATATTCAATAGGGTTGCTCCCTCCTTCTTCTCTCCTGCTCCTCACCCCAAAACACAGAAAAGCAGGTCATTGAGGCATTTTTTTTTTTTAAATGAGAACAGTAAGACACAGACAATACTCTGTGGCCTTTTACAAACCTCAAGCTGTCTTGCAAAGCATTCATTCACATAGATTCTAAATTCTTATCTATTGAAAGAGGTACCAAATTCTCATGATGCCCACTACTCTACAGGTAACTCCACATGTTTCATTTCTTTTTTGTGTTCAAAGATACTGATAGAAGCTCCAAGAAGGTACACATCTTCCCTCTTAATTGATCATAGGGTGACCCTAAGACTTAGAGCTGATGTATGGTCTTTAGGAATCATCTGGTCCACTCATTTCACTAAACACTGAAGCCCAGAGGTCACACAGCTAGTAATTAGAGCCTGGGAGCTCTCCCTCAGCAGAGCTTGATAAGCGACTATTGAACACATGAATTACAATTGCTAGCTCTGTGCATGTGACTCAAAACATATGTGTGCTCTATGTAGAGAGTAAATGAGAGATCAAAGGGTTCTCTGGGTTGTGGGCCATTCCTGTTATTTATAAGGGATTGCTTTTGGACATTAGTTTATTCTTATACTGCTGTCTAAATATACTACTAACTAAGGCTGGGAGTCTTTACGGGAGATAATGACTCTCTTCTTCATTGAGGCAAGGATGGGGCTCCCATTTTGAAAGCTGCACAAGGATTTTCTGAAAGGTCTGGCAGTTTAAACCTCTTCTGTTAACTGGGGGTTTTGTTTTTGCTTTGCAGAAGCTAACTCTGCCACTCAGTGCAAAGAGCTTTGGATTTGGTGTCAGAGGGCCTGGGTTCAGATCCTGACTGTGTTACATCACTCCTTGCTATTGAGTTGTTTTTCAGTCATGTCTGACTCTTTGTGACCCCATTTAGGGTTTTCTCACTAAAGATACTGGAGTGATTTACTGTTTCCTATGATAAACTGAAGCAAACAAGGCTAAGTAATTTGCCTGGGGTCACATGGGTAGGAAGTGTCTGAGGCTGGATTTGAATCCAGGAAGAGGAATCTTCCTAACTCCAGGCATGCTATTCTATCCACCATGCAACCTAGCTGCCCATGTTACTTTATAATCTTGTACAGGGACAAGGGAGGTGGGACCAGAGATCAGGGTCTCTGAGGTCTCTTACCAGCCCCAAGTCTGTGATTCCAGAACTTGTTTTTATGGCTTATAGCATCCTTCAAGTCCTATTGGCTCAAGCAAGTACTACCACCTACTTGAAAGTCTTTCTTATCCTTCCTAGTTGTTAGTGCTTCATCTTGCTTCCAAATATCCTGTATTTCTCTAAGGTCAGGTTATATCTCTCCTGTCCCTGTGTCCTCCCCCCCGCAGTAGGCAAGCTCTTTGAACATGTGGTTTGCTTCATTTTTTACTTTGTATACCTATTGCCTAGCACTGTTCCTTGTACACACTTTGGCAGAGAACAGAAGGAAAAAAAAATCCTACTCAAGCCATATCTGTTCTTTGTAATATATATTTTAAAATTCATTTTTAAATGCTGAGTATAACAAACAACAACCAGATATTTGTTGGGCTGACCAAATTAAAAGGACACTAAAAAATTAAAAAATAAAAATAAAAGGGCGTTAAAGCCTGATGGTGAAGTAGATAGAGCACCTGACCTGGAATCAGATTCAAATCTAACCTCAGACACTTGCTAGCTCTGTGAACCTGGGCAAGGCACTTCACCTCTGTTTACCTCAGTTTCCAAATCTGTAAAATGGGGGTAATAATTAGCACTTACCTCCTAGAGTTGTTATGAGGATCAAACTAAATAATAATTGTGAAGCTCTTAGTAAGAGCTATATAAATGTTAGCTATTAGTAGATCCCTTTACCCTTTTTAAAAATGAGGTGATATTGTGAAATAATGCATTTAATTCTTTGTATTAATTATAGTTTACATCCAAGCCAAAATTACCATTATTTACTTTTGCTCTAGGAGGAACAGAGTAGCAGGAAATTGAGAGCATTCTAAAGGGCCAGCCCATGCTTTCCACAGACTCTTAGTAGAAATGATTGGGCAGACTCTGCTGGTGTCCCTTTGTGCCTTGAGCATAATCTTGGCCATTGTCCCAGTGATGGTGAGATTTCATTTGTCAGGAAATGTGACCTGAAGATCCTGCTAGATGTGTGTGCTCAAGGTTTTAAAATGGTTGAAAGAACTACTGATCCAGCTGGATAGGAACTGAATTAGGAGGAGAAGGACTCCAGTCTGTGTTGCTGATCTATTTCCCTGACTCAGGATGTACACTTCTTAATGAGATATGCTTTAGGACAAAGAAAAAAAAAGTACCTTGAACATTTTCAAAAACAGCTAATGTGGGGAAGTTTTGTTTCACTATGCCAATTTGTTACAAGGGTTTTCTTTTCTTTTTCAGTGGAGGTGAGGGGCAGTATTGATAGGTTTGCCAAAAGAAAGAAAGAAAGAAAGAAAGAATGGAAGAAAGGAAGAAAGAGGAAGGGGAGATAGAAAAAGAAAGAAGGAAAAGGAAGGAAGGAAAAGAGAGTCATGGAAACACTTTTTTTTAAATGTACAGAAGAAAGCAGAAGAAAATGACCAAGAATAAAGCTTTGAAATTTACAGGTTGAATTTGTACTGTAATATGCTTAAAAGGAAATTTATTAAGCTAGTAATAGAGATTCACAGTTTCATGTACAATCCCCCTTTTCCCCATTCTCTCTATTTGGAAATACTCCTTTTCCTTGTTATGTTGAGAATAAAAAATTAATTTTAAAATACTTGCTGTAAAGAACATGCATGATACTGGCCAGGATTTTTTTGCCTCTATCCTCTACAGAAGTGTCCATGACATCATCAAGTTTGGGTTATCTAGTAATTCCCATTGGGTTTGATGCTCGATTCTGGTTCTCTTCTAGCAGAACCATAAGCCTTTTGACTATCTGAAAATGATTAGCAAGAAAAAAAATAACAAGGTTTCAGAAATGTTTGATTGCTCATGAGTCTGGTCCTATGGCCTATGTGCTGCTAAGAGCAGGTGGAGTACTTAGGAGGTGTTGTGGAAAGAATGAGGAGAGAGTGCCTAACACAGAATCACAGAATCTGAGCTGTCTTGCTCAATTTTTATTTATGTCCTTAGTGATTAGATCAGCATAAGGCATAGAGAAAACCCTTGATAAATGCTCCTTTATCTGTCTAATCTATTTATTAGGCAATGGTGGCTTGCTATCCTGGGAATGGGGCTGGTTATGTTCGACATGTAGACAATCCCAATGGAGATGGGCGCTGTATCACCTGCATCTACTATCTGAACAAGAATTGGGATTCCAAGGTATGTTGGGACTTTTTGGATTGCATATAAACATACGTTGAGCACAGGCCACAGGGAGAGGATTATGCTAAGAATTAGCTTTCCAGGGAGAATTTATATAATTTAGAAGTAGAGAAAACTTTGAAATAATAAGATGTTCATTATCTTCCGATGAGGAGTCTTTTCATAGTATTTTGGGAGAAATTATCTTTTTTTTCCACACTCTAGAAAATCTGGATGAAAGGAGCTAAGGTGAAAATAATGGCTATAAAGCTGAATTAGTAAGTCTTCCCCCCACCAAAAAAAAAAAAAGCCCCACCCCCGATTACTTGTCTTTCAGAGCAAAGGGATCAGACTTTGAGCCCAGCCAGAGCTGACGTGACTTAGATTGCCGAAACCTAATTAGTAGCAACAAAATACACTTTTCCTCCCAGCAGCAATATTGAGAGAATTTCACAAAACTGATACTCTAGGATATAAAAGCATCCCCAAGAGAGAATTTCCTACACAGCCTCTCTCACGCAGAATAAAATAACTCATCAGTGGCCACTTGCCATGGTTTGCTATATGGGTATGAACTCCAAGGGAGTCTTGGCTCATTTTATATATTCTCCAATGTGTATAACTTGTGTGTATGCTTATCCAGATTTAAAAACTGATGCATATGGATTGGGGTATTTTTGAAAATTCAGGAATGATTTAGTAGTTTGGGAAGTGAGGGAATTATTCCAGCTTACTTGGCTTCTGAATCTTCAGCATCCCCACTTCCTGTCAGTTGGGTTCAGACACAGGTTACCTCAGAGAAGTTCTAAGGTTTTTGTTTGGGGGCCAGAGAAACCATTAAACCAGCAAGAAAAACAGTGAGTGGATGAAAACACCAGGGGAAAGTTCATCTTTTCCCTCTTTGCTTTCCTTCCCCCAACATGATGAAGCTAAAATGTATCTTTTAAAACACATCAGATTTTGAAAAAAGAATAACTTTAAAAAAAAGTTAATTGTCCAGTATGTTGCAGCGGCCCCATGGCATTGTGGATAGAGAATTGGCAATGAATACACCTACTGACTTTGTTTCCCCCCAAAAGTCACTTAAGCTCTCACCGTTCTAGGCTACTCATAAAGACTCTTTCAATTGCAGAGCATTGGTGGGAAGGGTTTCCTCACCCAGCCATTGCCCTATGCTAATAAAACCACAGTTCTTTTACCCTTTCCCTATCAAATATATTACTTTTATGTCCCCCATATTATCTTGTGATTGTCCCAGAGGCCTTCAAATAGCACTACATTTTGAGGTCAAAGAGCCTCAAAATATTTTACCTCGGTTTACTCATGTGTAATGTCGCCAGCTCAGTGTCTGGTCCAGTAAGATGAAAAGATTTAGCTAAGGTCGCAGATAGGTAGATGGTGTGGCATTCCAGTGAAGAATGTGTGTGTACACATGCACCCACATGTATGGGGGCTCCAGCTTGGAAGAGGGAGCAGGGGAATCAGACTCCCTTTTCCTATCAGTAGTAGGCTAATATGTTCATCCCAGCTGGAGAGTTATATCTGTGCTCAGGAAATAACCTTTATTGTGTTTTTCAGCTACATGGTGGGATTCTTCGGATATTCCCAGAAGGAAAGTCCTTCATAGCAGATGTGGAACCTATCTTTGACAGGCTACTCTTCTTCTGGTCGGATCGTAGGAACCCACATGAAGTACAGCCTTCCTATGCTATGAGGTAAAACATTGAGAATGACAAGTACCCCCAAGGACAGATCTTCTTTTGGAATAACTAAATCATCATTTTCAAACTGGATCACATTTTTTTTTTTGGTTTGTTTGTTTTTTTAAAGACAGGAAAGGACCTTAGACAAGTAGTTCATTCTTCTCCGCCACCCCCAACTTTCATTTTTACAGATGAAGAAACTGAGACCCTGACTTGGCTTTCTGTGTGACCTTGAGCAGTTGATCACACTATAGTTATTTTCTTATACTGAATGTGTTTAAAGGGAAAATCCTGGATATATAGGTTTGAGGAAACCAGAGCTTTCAATTTGAAATATTCATTAACTCTACTAACTTTAGGTTGGCTAGAATTAGTTTCCCTCTAACTTCCTGCCCCCCTACATCCCCTCCCCGCCTCTTTTTTGGGGGAGCGCATTAGCCCAAAAGGAATATCACATATAAACTTTTAAAAAATTATTTTATCATTTTTAATTTTAATTTTATGTTTTATTACATTTTCATTTATTTAAACAACACAACCCCCCAACTCTGACTTGTACCAAAGATAAACATTTAAGCAAAAGACATGCTATATTGGCTCCATTTTCATCTGATCTAATCCAATCCCCCTTTAAAAAATAGAGGCCCAAGAAAGTTAAATGATGGTGGTGTACTTGGGCTTCAGCTTGGAATAGAGAATAGGAGAATCAGACTCCCTGTTCCTTGTTAGTGATAGGTTGATATGTCCATGGTTTACAGAATATGTTATGGCAGAACCAAGGGCAAAAACACAGATCTCCTGGTTGTCCAATGTGCTTTTTTTTTTTTTTAAATGAGGCAATTGGGGTTAAGTGGCTTGCCCAGGATCACACAGCTCGTAAGCATCTGAGGTGGGATTTGAACTCCGGTCCTCCTAACTCCAGGGCTAGTGCTCTAACCACTGCACCTCTTAGCTGCCTCTCTAATGTGCTTTCTACAAATAGCTAGTAAATACCTTAGACCACTACTATCCTAGTAATAAACCAATAAAAATAATTTGTAAGTCCTTTTGGAAAAATAATGATGTAAAAAATGATAGGAAAATGGTTCTTAAACTATTCTCCCAGAAATTGGAAGCACTTTTGGTCATAGTAGATTTTCCATTATGGGTTGAGAGAGATGACAGGGCAGACTTGCCTGTTGTCAGTGCTAAGGCAGAAAGCAGGATTGAGAATTTTAAATCTCTGATAGTAAATAAATACAAGTAAACCTAAAAAAATCTTTTTTTTAAAGTAAAATTCGAACAGTCCTTTCATGCTGGAGAGAAACATTTTAGTATTTGATTTTCAAAGCATGTGAATATTGTTACCTTATTTTCCCCCACTTTTCATCTAAAACTTATTTCCCTTGTCTTTCACAGATACGCTATGACTGTTTGGTACTTCGACGCAGAGGAAAGAGCGGAAGCCAAAAAGAAATTTAGGAATTTAATTGGTAAGTCTTCTTCCAAATTTCTCCAAGGAAAAGTTGTCTTGGGTCTTTTTAGATTAAAAAAAATAATTATTATTTTTGCTTACACAATGTCAGAAGCAATCATCGCTCTCCTCCCACTCAACATAGTTTATAATGACATTTTTTATAATAATGTCATATATTCTTAGCCTGTTTTATGAATTATAAAGCATCCACTCATTAGATCCTCAGAATAGACTTGTAGAAAACAGCTCAAATGAAAAATGATGGCAACACTTGTCTAAGGCTTTTCTACCATCAGTCAAGGCAGATCTAAGCTTCTGATTTTTTCTTCTTGAAATCTAGCATCTCTACCTAAAGAAAATGGAAGTATTTCCCACTTTTCCTTCTTCACTGTATGGGTAAGAACAGTAGAGAGAACAGAGAAGGTGTCACCAGAGAAGGGTAAAGAAAAGCCACAGGGCTATGGGAAATGGAGGCTTAGGGAAAGTGTCCCCTCATACAGTCATTGTTTGTCCTTAGTTCCTGAAGAGGATCGTGACATCAGGAAGATGATGCCATGACTTGCAAGTGAATTGGATTTAAGTGAGGGAGGGCTGTGCAAGGCCACCAGCCTCACTTTCTCCTCTGGAGTCATCTGGGTTCCGTGGTGAGATACAGGTCGGGATGACTGGAAATCCCCCACCCCTGTACAGTCATAATGAAATTTCACAATTAAAGCTGGGAGTAAACTTTTGACCTCTGTAACAAGGACAATAGGAGCGAGACTGGGGTAGCAAGGTCTGGCCAAACTGCTGGTTGTAGGAATGAAAGGGGAGGTGATGATAATTCACATTTATTATGTAGTCCTGAGCTTGACCTTATCTTATACATATAGTTCCTTTAGAGTAGGACTTGTTTTTAATCTTTGTATTTATTTCCCCCATACCTAGCATAGTGCCAGATATATAATAAGTGCTTAAAAATGTCATTTCAGAAAGAAAAAAAAGGTCAAAGTACCCTCATGGTTAAAAAATTGGCTAGAAAAAACTTAACTTCATATTTACTTAGTGGTCACTTAGTCCTGTGAAGATCTAGTAAGAACGACCTTATCACAATTACTTTGTGTTTTGTTTTGTTTTGTTTTGTTTAAGTTTAAGATGAGAAAGCTTGAACACAGATTGCATAGGTTAATCTTTACACTTCTATTCCCCTCCCTCCCATATAACTGTGTCAGAATCCAGTTTCCTAACCCTCCGTTCTCGTTTCTGTCACCAACACAGGGAAGACGGAAACCTCCCGCAGTGAGGACTGATCTGGAGATCATTTGGCACTGTTCTTTTCAGAAACACTGTTCCTGAATTCTCTGCATATGACAAGATCCAAAGATGACCTCTTCATTGACTCAGGGGAAGGATATTCTTTCCCACACGCTAGAAATGCACTGTTCGTGTCTCTTATCTTGCCTGTGGTACTCAGCATTCTTCTGCCAGGACTCTATTCGTCTCCAGACACTCTCTGTGACTTTGGAAGAACTTGAAGACTTGCCTACTCTAGAAATACCGTTGAACAATGACTCATTCAGCAAGTTTATCAGATGACTTTTTGGCTACACCAGTTGTAAAGATGATGAACATGGAAACATAGGGGAGGGAACAAATCTCATTTGCACTTTATGTAAACTTTTCGGATTGAAAGAAAGCTTTGCTGAGAAATGCTTTCCTTGGAAGCCACTTGAGGGGTTGGCCTAAGGAAAGAGTTCCTAGTGCACCACTCAACTAGACGTCATTGGATGAGCTTTCTGTAGCGTTAGCTCAACTGTATGTTTTCGCTGTCTCTACGAAGGGCTGTCCTTGTCATTGTAATACCTTCACACATGCCTTGTTGGCTGAACACTTCTTATTTTGTTTTTTCTTCCTGGTCTTGGAAGTAAGGCTTCTTGCCTCTGCTCAAGATGGGTATTAACCCATCAATATTAACCTTGTATGAGATAGAAATACCATTTACTTCCCTTTTTATGTTCTTCCCTCAAGAGGGAAGAATAAGGTAGGTTGTGAATCCAAGAGTAAACATCTTATCTGGACCTTAGAACCAATCTATAATTATGTTAAAACAAAATTGGATCTCTGGTTAACAATTTTTTTTTTTAATTAGCAAAAATTTTCTCTCCCCATCTTCTTCCATATTCGTTTAAAAAAAAAGAAAAACAAGTACTTATATAACATATGCTTTGTAAAACAAAACACATTGCTGCATTGGTTATATCCCAAGTTATACTTCTCATCTTTGAGCCATCATTTCCCTCTCAAGGTTAGACAGTAGCGTGGTTCCATTGGGTCTCAGAGTTTATATGTGTCTCCACTGGTTCAGGTGGGAAAGAGGGCTCAGGAAAAGTAATAATGTCTTCCCCTTTAAAAAAAAAAACCACGACACTCTCCTTTGAGAAAGTAGGGTAAAAATAAAGTCTCCATTTTAAAAAGAAATAAAAAGTTCATGGAAGAAAAAACCTATGTTGAGTCACTGGACTCTGTCTATCCCTACCAGCTTTCATTCCCACAACTAGCATTTTGGTACCTCAGTCTCACTTCTGTTGCCAGTGTTACAGAGGTCATGTATTTACTGAGGTGTAATTGGAAATTGTGAAAAAACATTGTGTTCTCTATGACTGTATGAGGGAACACTTTCCCTCATCCTTATAATCCATTTCCCATATCATTGTGGCCTTTCCTCACTTTCCTTTGGGACACCTTCTTGTATTCCGTTTTGTATCTTACTTGGAATTGTCTCATTTCTCATACAGTGAAGAAGGAAAATGGGAAACACTTTCATTTTCTTTAGGTAGAGATGTTGAATTTCTTGGGGGAAATCCCAAGTTTAGCTTTGCCTTAACTGATGGTTGAAAAGCCTCAGACAAGTGTTGTTATCTCCATCTGGCCCCACATGGAACTTTTTTCTACATATATCTTTGGAGATGTACAAAATGTGTCCTTTTCTTTCTTCCCCATTTTATCACTATGAAAAAACTCCCTGGTCTTTGTGTGTGTGTACACAACTTTCTACCATCATACATTTGTGAACCTAGGAGATAAATTCTAGAATTCTTTTGGTGTCGTGATTGGTTTGGTGAATGAAACTGAGCTGATTATTCACCAATGGCGGAGTATTGTAGAACACGCTGTGAACCACTATTAGTTGGAAGACTGACAGGATTTCTCTTCTTCTCTGCCTTGGATCATTAAGAAAATGAACTTAGCCCTGATGAATGTAGCTTCGGTTGCACTAAAACAGAATCCTTGACAATAAACTGAAAGATCACAGTGAGAGAGAAGCAGGGTTTACTGGCTACTCTGGTAACAAGCAGTAATTACGTATTTTTGAAGTTGGCTATTTTGCTTTGTGTTTTTTTTTCTTCCTTTTCTTTTTTGGGCGACTCAACCTGTGATTTCATCAGTCTAGAATACTCCTAGTGAGGGATTTTCTTTACCAATACATCAGCATTATCTCTTGCAGTTTACAACCTTGGTTATCTGGTGCACCAACAGGTTAAGCTGCTTTCCAGTGGTCACAAATCCCTCCATTGCCTAGTCCAGAGGTAGCAGATAAGCCTACAAAATTCATTTTAAAGCTTTTCACCAGTCTTCCTCACGTGTACTAATGGGGCATCTGATTGGTGGGAGTAAATGCAGATTCATTGATTGAGTAGCAGGCTATTAAAACAGTATAGCCCTGGTACTGTAAGTTGACTTTTTTTTTTTTTTGGGGGTTTTTTTTTTTTAAACTTGTCCAAGGTCTGACTTTTCTTATGTATCTTACCTAAACCATTGGGAGAAAGGTACTATACAATAAATGTTTAAAATAATCTATTTTATCCTTGGCTGATTTGTGTGGCTGAATTATCCCACTAGAAGTCAAGCCCAGAACAGGTTGAAGATGAAACCATATAGCCAGGGACTGTTTTTTGATATTCCCTTAGACCCTGTTGTTGTGGGAAGGATTGAAAACTGCCAAGGGAAAGTCATTTGGTGAATAATCAGGTCAATTTCATTTGTATTCCTGGCAATGGAAATGTTAAGAGCCTTCCTAACCATTACATCATCTAAATAGTGCAGGGTCCTTAGCAGCAGATTGAATTTTGATCCAAAGATCCAATTTCATGAGAGTAAAAAGTCTTACCTCAGTTCAGTAAATAGATCTACAGTAGAGCAGTTAATACCAATTAAATGCAGAGCTGTCTAAATTATGGATCATCTGTTTGAACCTGATATCTTTTCCTTTTTAAATTACTCTTGGCTTCTTAGTAACAGAATTGTCCTTATTATGTCTCATCATTTAGTCCTAATATTTCCTTTAAAAGAAGTCTTGATGGGAAATGCCCCACATAGGGTCAGTAGTATTTATAAAATAGCTCGCAAAATAGAGAGGTTTAAGGTGTTTTCTTTTTAAATATTTGTTTGCCCACTGAAACAGTCAGCTGTGGTGAGTGAGGAGATCCCAAAAATGGCCTTTTTTTTTTTTTTTAGTGTTAGAACTCTTGAGCTGACAGAGAGAATGATGGGCTATGTGGCTCTAGAGAATCTCAGAATTAAAGAATGATGAGTTGGGGCAGCTAGGTGACTCAGTGGCTAGAGTACTGGCCCTGGAGTCAGGAGGACCTGAGTTCAAATCTGGCCTCAGACACACAACACTCACTAGCTGTGAGACTCTGGGCAAGTCACTTAACCCCAATTGCCTCACTAAAAAAAAAAAAGAATGACAAATCTTAAGTAATTACGTTAAAGACAGGAATTGCCTAGTGTTTTCCCCTATCCCATGCCCTTCTCAGTTTAAAAAGCAGCTGACACATTTAAAGAATTCATAAAAGAATCTTTTAAACTCATTCTACCATCTCCAAATGTGCTATTCCTCAAATGTGAAGGTCTGTAGCTAGTGTGAGCAGGGCAAATGATTCATTTTTCCTGATAAATGACCAGGATTAGTTAGGGGAGTGCAGTATTTTGCCATAGGGGCAGCTCTAGTGGAGAGAAGATGAAAGTGTTGTCTGAGTCTTCAAGTCTTAAAGCTGGAAGCAGGTACTCTTGAGATAATATAGCTCCACAGACAATCTTCAAGACGAGAAAATAATACCTACAGGAAGTTTTAAAGGGTCCTTCTGACCCTTTGATCTATCTCTCTAGACAACTTTAGAATGACCATTTTCAGTCATTATGAAATAGCAAACATGGTTGTATTTTAAAAGGCACCTGATATGTGGATATGCCTTTTCCTTGAAATTATCTTTTTAAGGCTGACTTTGGAACACGGGTCTACAAATTTTTAAAAAGTATTTTGATAACTATTTCAATAGAATTGCTTTCCTTGGTAATCCTATGTATTTGTATTTTATGCATATAAATACATTCTCAAACAAGTACGTAGGCATTGCCAGTCTACCAAAAGGGTCCACAAGACCATTGCATTAGAAGAACAAGGTCATGTGCACATTTACATGTGCATGTAAATATTTCTACATTTTGTATGAACACCAACGAAAAACCTGCAAAATATTTTTGTTTGTTTTCTAGGAATCCCCAGTGCTACTGGGGAATCAGAGAAAATATTGTCTGAAAAAAATCATGATTTTAGAGTTTGAAAAAAAATTTAGACGTTATCTAGGTCACCCTTGCCGTTTGACCTATAAGGAAACTGAGCCTCAGAGAGGTTAAGTGACTTCCCCACAGTCACACAGGCAGAGCTTGGGATTCCAATCCAGGTCCAGTGACTCCAAACCCAGCGGACTTTTTTTTTTTAATTCAGCATTTTAGAGTGCTTCCTTCATGACAGCCTTTGGAGGGAGGTAGATGTGTTTACATTCTACATTCCTATAAAACTAAGAGGGGTTGTGATTTTTTCGCCCAAGCTCACACACTCCCAAGTAAGCGACCCCAGTGTTTCGCACATACCAGGTGCTAAATTTCTGTTGATTGATGCCAATGCAGTGAACTTTTAACTGTACTCCCTGACATCCTGATTCCTAAGCTAATTTTTAAAGCTGTGAGAGGCAATGGATAGAGTGCTGGGCCTGGAGTCAATCTTCCTGAAGTTCCCGAGTTCAAATTCGGCCTCAGACGCTTACTAGCTGTGTGATCCTGGTCAAGTCACCTCACCCTGTTTGCCTCAGTTTCCTCATCTCTAAAATGAGCTAGAGAAGGAAGTGGCAAAGGATTCCAGGATCTTTGCCAAGAAAACCTCAAATGGGGTCACAAAGGGTCAGACACATGACTGAAATACAACAGTAATGCTACCAATAAGGGACTAGTGGATAGACTGACATGAGGCCCCGGGGGAGCGGGAGGAAGAAATGTTCAGCGGAAAGTTGATGATCCCCCAAGAGATAGAGCGACTCTTCGCTGGCGCTGAACATTATTAACCCTGCTCTCTGTTGGGTTCTGGGTATTAGCTGTTAGGTGTGAACATACACACATCATAGCTAAGTAGCACTTGCCATCTGGAGTGAAAACATTGTGGCTTCCCTACTGTATTGAATTTAGAACCCTCCCTTAGGCACTGCAATGAGTTTAAACATCGGTTCTGGCATCTTGTTATTCTTTGTAAAAGTATGCCTCATATGAGAAAAAGATTTATTCCTCTCCTCCCCGCCCTTTTTAAACACGTGCCTTTTCAGCTAGGAATTACCTACACCTAAATTAGAAGAGAGATCTATAGAGCTTAGTTGCCCTCAGGCATTATTTCTCCTTGGGATGGATCCTACAAGTAGGCAGAGCCTCAGTCCTTCTGACCCTTTGTTTCCATCACTCCAGGGACCATTTTGGGACAATTGAGTTAAAGTGAGGATGGAAAGCTGCAAACACTTGTTTTTCGAAGGCTGCCTTTTCCTTGCAATTTTGTAAGGCTGACTTTAGAGCAAAGGTTGTTAACTTGGGGTCCACATATTCCCAGAGGGTCCCTGGATAGATTTCAGTGGGTCTGTGAACATGTATGGGAAAAATTTACAGCTTCATTTTCACTGACCACTAAACTTTAGCATTTCCTTCAATTATGAATTTTAAAAACAATTCTGAGGATGGGTCCATAGCCGTTTTCACCAGACTACCATTGGTGTCCATGACACAGCAAAGATTAAGAACTCCTGGATTAGAAGAATATTTAAATGTCCCAGTCAGTTATTTAAGGGTTTTTTTTTTTTTGAGACCATCTGTACATTTTGAAAGTTGAAATATGGCCTGCAGTTGCTTTTTTTTTTCTTTTTAGCAATTTTCCTGACCTTGCTGTAGTAGAATGCTTTGGAAAATAGCTGGGTTTTTTTGTATCACTCACAGGTAAATAATCTTCCATTCATTTCAGTGCTTGAGTATTTTCAGAAAAATCTATAAAGACCACTTTGTGATTTCAAAAGGGACAAAGCCTGCCCGAGGCTGTGTGTGTGCTGGTCACCACCACCTTTGGATTGTGGCTGATTAAATGTGTGTATGTTGTCGTTGCAAACCCTACAGGTCGACTTAAATTGTGAAATGAAATCACTTCAGTACTGCAAGAAGCAATAAACACTGGGTTATATTCAAATCTGTGTTTAAGCCCTTTATTTTTAATGCTTATTTCTTGAGGGAGAAATTGGACCCCTTTTTTTTCCTTAATTTTTATTTTCAGCTCCAAATTCTTTCCCTCTCTCCATCTGCTCTCCCACCCACTGAGAAGGCCAGAAATGGTGCCCCATCATAAACATGAAATCATGCCAAACATTTCCACATTAGCCATGTTGCAAAAATAAAAACAAAGAAAGAAGGAAGGAAGAAAAATGAAGAAAGTGAAAGAATATGCTTCAATCTACACTTAGAATTCATCGGTTCTTTCTCTGGCAATGAATAGCATTTTTCATCATGAGTCCTTTGGAATTGTATTAGATCATTGTCTTAATCAGAGTATATAAGTCTTTCACAGTTGATCATTGTTACAATATTGCGGTTACCATGTGCAGTGTTCTCCTGGTTCTGCTCACTTCCCTTTGCATCAGTTCGTATAAGACTTCCCAAGGTTTTTCTGAAATATCCTCATTGTCATTTCTTACAGCATAATAGGATCCCATCACAATCACATACAACTTGTTCATCCATTTCTCTATTGATTGGTATCTTTCAGTTTCCAATTCTTTGGCACCACAAAAAGCTGCTGTAAATATTTTTGGACATATTTTCTTTTATCTCTTTGGGATACAGATCTAGTAAGGGTAATGCTGGGTCAAAGGGTTTGATGATCTTTTATATCTAAATCATGTGCCCATTTGATGCTTATCTCGTTGGGCTTCCCTTTTAGAGGTGGACATTAGGTGGCAAAGCCAAAGAAAGGGGAGACCAGCTGTTAATAGAACTGATAGAATGTGGATTGTCTGTTAACATTTATTAAGTGCTTACTATATGCCAAGCACTGTGCTAAGCATTGGGAATACAAGTGTAAAGGCCCTCAAGGAGCTCCCCTTCATAATGAGAAAGGAAGCTGAAAAGGAATGGGAAGGGCTGGGGTTTTCAGCTTGAGAGCATGGTAAAGTCCAAAGTGCAGCCTGAAAAACTATTAGCCAAGGCTGGCCTGCAGAACCTCTTTCAGTGGAGATTCTGGGAGGAGCCATCCAGTCAGAGGGGGAGGTTGCAAGGACAGAAGGTACTTCCAATGTGTGAATTCCAGTGAAACTTTTGGAGGAAGAGCTGAGTCATGGTGAGGTTTCAGGATGGTAGAGGAAGTTCAGAGTACAGACTGGAGAAGATGGACTACCTCCTTAAAATGGAAAGGAAAAAGATTTATTGAGTTGTCAAGATCAAAGATTAAAACTGGGACCTTAGAGGTCATCTAGTTTGGAGATATCAAACATGG